CAAAAAAGCGTAAGCTTCTGGTAATTTCCCCAAGAAAAAACTACTTGAATAAAGGGCAGAGTGAATACAAATACAGACCGAGCTAAAGATATTAAGCATAACAAAAATGTTTTTCTTTAAGAAAATGAATTGTCTTTTTTCTTTTGTTTTTAATTCTAATTTTGATTGTATTTTTTTTATTATTATATAGATGATTTATTCTATATATGATATGATTTATTCTATATATGATATGATTTATTATATAATTTATTATTATTATTATCCATTTTTGTATTATACTTTTATATTAACAATGAAATATAAAATCAAAATTTTTTGATTTTATTTAGATAGAATAGAGAATATATAGAATAGAAAATGAATAATTTGAAAATCTAAAAGGATAGAATATAAAATATTGAATTCCTATTTATAGATATGAAGATTACTAAATCAGTAATAAAACGAAAAAAAAAGATGAATCAACTAAGATCAGACCCCCACTTTTTTTGATTTGAACTGAATAAGTTCAAACAATATCTTAATTGAATTCTATGGAATGATCAATAAATTTCGTTTAATTCGATATCGATACATATCAAAATTCTAGCAACAATTTATTCTATAGAATAAATTTCGAAGTGTAATTTACGAACAACTCATAATACTATTTATGTCGAATCAAAATGGGGCGTGGCCAAGCGGTAAGGCAGCGGGTTTTGATCCCGTTATTCGGAGGTTCGAATCCTTCCGTCCCAGATCATATCTATTCAAGATATATACCTATTTCAATACAAATTGTATATCCGAATAAAGATTCCTTTTTTTTTTTTTAGAAATTGATTTTTTTATATTTAATTTACAAACCATGAAAATAGAATATTGACTTAATTTCGACTTCTTGACTTTAGAAATAAAATTGTATAGTCAGAAAACCTAAAACCTAGAAGTGAAAAGTATATATTATTATCTATTGATTGAGTCAATGACTATGCACGATTTCAAAATGGAATCAATTACATACCAGATTGAAACTAAAAAATAATGTTATGGTAAAACCTCGTTTGAAACGATGTAGTAAAAAGCAGCGTGGGACTTGAAAAACGTGACTATATTAGCTGCGGAGTCTTACATGCCCTATTTTCTTTATACTATCTAGTTTCTAGTATCTAGAAATAGGGATCCTCGATTTTTCGATTTGAGTGATCTATTTATTCCAAAATTCGGTGCTCAACCTACCTCATATTAGGAAAAAGTCAAGAAATAAACTAATTTGGTGCATAAATACCGTAGACCAAATGAGCCTTTTTACTTCTTTGTTTTTATTCTATTCATTCATTTTTATATTAGAAATAGTTATTGATTTGATATTCAAATATAAATGATACATTTGTTCAATACTTCTTCGCTCATTATTATTATAAGTTATTAATCCTCGCAATTCTATTTCTATACTTAAGTCGATAAAAAATGATCATCGAATGACTATTCATCTATTGTATTTTAAAGTGGTTCAATCCAATGTTGCTGTTTAATAGGGATTTAGAATATAGGTGTGGTTTAAGTAAATCCCTAGATAGTTTTGATCCTATTGAAGATAGTTTTTATCCTATTGAAAATAACGGTGTAAATGAAGACCCATCTATTTTAACTGATGACCCATATATTTTAACTGATGACCCATCTATTTTAACTGATGACTCATCTATTTTAACTGATGACCCATCTATTTTAACTGATATGGATAATGACATTCATAGTTGGATTGAGAGTTATCTTCGTTATTTAGATGATAGTGACAACTACAATGCCAATATCAGTGACTTGAATAGTTACATTTTAGATGATACAAATGATAGTGATTTGTATGAAATAGAAAATTCTAATGATACAAATGATAGTGATTTTACTCCAATAGAATATTCTAATGATACAAATAATAGTAAATTTACTCCAATACAATATCCTGATGATCCAAAAGATACTTCTTATACTGAAAAATTTAAGCATTTATGGGTTGAATGCGAAAGTTGCTTTGGATTAAATTATAAGAAATTTTTTAAATCCAAAATGAATATTTGCGAACACTGTGGAGATCATTTGAAAATGAGCAGTTCAGATAGAATCGAACTTTCGATTGATCCAGGTACTTGGAATCCTATGGATGAAGACATGTTTTCTCTGGATCCCATTGAATGGGACAAACCTTATACGGAAGACGAACCTTCTACGGAAGACGAATACGACTCTTCTACGGAAGACGAATACGAATCTTCTACGGAAGACAAACCTTCTAACGAACCTTCTACGGAAGACAAACCTTCTAACGAACCTTCGACGGAAGACAAACCTTCTAACGAACCTTCGACGGAAGACAAACCTTCTAACGAACCTTCGACGGAAGACAAACCTTATACGGAAGACGAATCTTCTCCGGAAGACGAATCTTCTCCGGAAGACGAATCTTCTCCGGAAGACGAATCTTCTCCGGAAGACGAACCTTCTACGGAAGACGAATACGACTCTTCTACGGAAGACGAACCTTATATAGATCGTCTTGATTTTTATCAAGAAAGTACAGGATTACTGGAGGCGGTTCAAACAGGCACAGGTCAACTAAATGGTATTCCTGTAGCAATAGGTATTATGGATTTTCAGTTTCTGGGGGGTAGTATGGGATCCGTAGTGGGTGAGAAAATAACTCGGTTGATCGAATATGCTACCAATCAACTTTTACCTCTTATTATAGTATGTGCGTCCGGAGGAGCGCGTATGCAAGAAGGAAGTTTGAGCTTAATGCAAATGGCTAAAATATCTTCTGCTTTATATAATTATCAAATCAATCAAAAGTTACTCTATGTAGCGATACTTACATCGCCTACTACTGGTGGGGTAACAGCTAGTTTTGGGATGTTGGGGGATATCATTATTGCCGAACCAAAAGCTTACCTTGCATTTGCGGGTAAAAGAGTAATTGAACAAACGTTGAATAAGGAAGTGCCTGAAGGTTCCCAATCGGCTGAAGTTTTTTTCGAAAAAGGCTTATTGGATGCAATCGTATCACGTGATTCTTTAAAGGACTTTTTAAGTGAGTTATTTGAATTCCATGGTTGCTTTCCTTGGATTGAAAATGAAAACTTCACTCTCACAACACAACGGAGAGGAGGAAAAGAGAGAG